CATTGTTGCTCTACATAAACCTCCTTATTAAGATAGCTATTTAAAAATGCCGACTTCACGTCAAGTTAAAAAAATTTCACTTCATTTGAGCTAGAATAACTAATAAAAAGAAAAACATCTCCATGCGAGCAACTGGTGTAAAAATCTCATCATAATAAACTCCATGCTTCTACTTGTATCCTTTGGCTACAAGTCTTGCCTTATACCTTTACACATTTCTTTGAGAATCCTTCTTTGCTTTGTAGACTCATTTAACGTTGATAGCTTTATGTCCTTCAGGAAGATTTTATAGCTCCTATATGTTGTTCTTTTATATGGATTTGATCTCTTTCTCCATGGCTTATCTCCATTTTGTATCTTTCATGGCTTCATCAAAATTCATTGGTTCACTGTCAAGGAAAAGACAAAACAAATTAATTATATTAAAGTTAGTGATCTCCTCATTTTCATCATAGAAATCTTGAATGCTCTTCATTTTTCTTGGCCTTTAACTTAAGTTTCCTTGAGAAATAAATGATGCAATATGAGTCGGAGAAGGGGGTGGAGTTATCTCTTGCATAGGCACTATGGTCTCTTGGCTTTCCTCTTCAAAATATGGAAAAAATAATAAACATTTTCTTCTCGTTTCTCCCAATTCTAAGCTATATTTTCATCAAATTCAACATCTCTACTCACCACAATTTTATCATTGCTTTGATTGTTCAATTTGTAGCCTTTTGAATTTGCATCATAACCAATGAAAACATGTTTGACACTTCAATCGTCGAGCTTGGATCTCTCTTGTTGTAGACCATGAGCATATGTAATACTTCTAAAAACACATAAATGGTTGACACTACGCTTCACTCCTCTCCATGCTTCTTGGGGAGTCTTGTCTTTTACCCTTGACGTTGGAGATCTGTTAGATAAATATAGTACAGAATAAATTGTTTCAGCCTAAAATTTCTTAGGTATGTTTTTGGCTTTCAACATGCTTCTAGCCATACTAAGAATAGTTTTATTCTTTCTCTCTGCAACTCTATTTTGTTATGGTGATTTTGGAACCGTTAAAGGATGATGAATTTTATTAGATTCACAAAAGTCATAGAATTCTTTGGAAGTGAATTCACCTCCTCTATCAGTTCTCAAAGAATTTATCTCACATCTACAATGTTTCTCTATAAAAGCGTTGAAAATTTTAAAAACAACAAAAGTATTCGATTTTTACTTTAAAAGTACACCCAAGTCTTCCTGCTAAAATCATCAATAAATAATAGAAAGTATTTATTTTTACCAAATGAAGGTATATTGATTGGTCCATACATATCAACATGTAGAAGTTGAAGTTGCTTGGTTGCTCTTGTAGTGGCTTCTTTCGGAAAACCTCTTCTTGAATGCTTCCCAAATAGACATGCTTTACACAATTGATTAAGATGGTTGTCAAATGCATCTTTTTCACCATTTTTCCTTCTCCCATTGCCTTGAGTGCACCAAAGTTCAAATGGCCAAATCTCATATACTAACACCATGCTTCATCTTTCACACTAGTCTTCAAGCATTTTATTTCAGTAGTTTTGAGATTTAAGATAAGCATTCTATTATTTGACATATGCACCTTAACAATCAAATTAGCACTTTGATCTGTAAACCAAATACAATAATATTTTATGTTGAATTCATATCATTTTTCAAGAAGTTGGCCCAAAATCAAGATATTGCTTTTCAACTTTAGCATATAATAAATATTGGTAATAAGAACATGCCCACCATTTTTTGAAAAAATTAGAATTGTACCTCTCCTTTGAATTTAGACTTTTGAGGAGTCTCCAAAAGAAACATTGTCATTTATATTCTCATCAAGCTCAACAAATTTTTCTTTGTAGCCGCACATGTAATTGCTTGCTCCATTATTCAAGTACCACGAACTGGTTATCACTATCTCCATCTTTACATGCTAGCAACAAAGTTGTTTCCTCCTTATCTTGTTTATTATTGACAAAGTTGGCTTGTTCCTCCTTTTTGTTTAAAGTGTTATGGCATTCTCAAGCATAATGGTCATATATGTGATAGTTATAATATTCAACATTGGACTTGTTAGAATTTTTATAGTTACCTCTTTTTCTTCCTCTTCTACGACCTCTACTTACCTGTTGGCTTCTATCTTCATTTGGCATCATTTTGAGTTTTATTTCTTTTAGACACCTGACCACAACCATGACCATATCCTCTATCTCTTCCTCGTTCTCTTTACCTTCCACCATCATTCAAAGAGACCTTTGATTTGAAAAATTGCTCCAAAGGCTCTTCTCATTTTCTTTTTATTTTATCTTCATGAGCTTGTAATGATCCCTCTAATTGCTCAAACGTCAAAGTGTCTAGATCTTTTGACTTTTAAATATACACACCACATAATCGAACTTTGGTGTAAAGATTGAAGAATGTTCTGCACGACACGAACATCTTCCATCGTCTCACCATATCTTCTCATTTGGTCCATCGTAAACTTTACCCTTGAGCAAGAATCTGAAATGAATTCAACATCCTCAATTCGCAAAGCTTTAAATTCACTCGTAAAGTTTGGAGCCGTACCTTCTTCACCTTGTCAACTCCTGGGAGGGAATTATTCAAAATCTCCCCAACTTACTTTGCGTTAGTAGCATCGACCACTTTCAAAAACATGGATTCATCCAAACCTTGATGGATGAGAGCAAGAGCTTGTTGATCCTTCTTCCTTATTTTTATCAAAGCATCCCTCTCATTTCGAGTTAAGAATTCTTTATATTCGGATGGAATAAAACCTTTGTCTACGATATTCCGCACATCTTGGAAGCCACTTTCATGCGAAGACACCAGCTCTTATAGTTTTCTTTTATAAGACGAGAAAATTAGAAGGAAAATAGATTATTGTTAGTCATCTTTCTAGAATTTTAGAATAAAAAAGACAATGAACCAAGTTCTGATGCCACTTTATTGAAAAAAATGAAGAGATAAACTAGCTGAATATAATACTTTGTTGAAATATGAGAAGAAGAAGTAAGAGAGACTAATTGAGAAACTCAAGTTTTGATTTGTGGTTGATGATAAAAACCTTCAAGTATATGGGGACTTATAGGTACTAATACAACTTTTAAATTTTCAAATACATGAATGATAATTATTAATCATAACCACCTAGGGAAACCCAAAAGACCTACATCTAATTCTAATTCATATATTATAACCTACAAAAATCAAAAAATACATTTGTATCCTTTATTCAATTTCTAAATTATTATCTTTAATTTCTTAGAAAACAAAAATTCTCTTTTGTAAATTATTATTTCGAACATTGCATTCATCTACATGTGATTTAACCTCGGTCATAAGTTAGTTGTTCTAAAGTCATCATTTTTAAAATATTTAGCTTTCACTATTTCGAAAAAAAGAAAAAAAAAAATGAATTATCTTTTTATCGCTAAGTCTATTTAGACAACAATACTTGCTTAAACATTTGAAAATCTTTAAATCTCAGTCTTCCTTCAATCTTGTTGTACAATTTTGAGTGAGCAATTAAGTGTAAAGCTTTTGCTCCCTTTTTGTGAACCCACCAAAACCTTAATATAAGATTTTGTCCATTTGAGAACAAACAACGTTTCAGTTCTGTAGTCTATTGGGACTTTTACTTGTATTCAAAGGCCTACCAATCACTGTTGAGAATCCCACATGTGTTTTAAGTTAGTATATCTCTGGGTTTACGAATTAATAGGAAGTAAATGAATTAGTATTCGTACAGCCGCCGCCAACTTCTTTTTTAATTTAATTTCTCTAATTTTCTTATATTGAGGTCGCATATGTACTATTTTTTTTTATTGGTATCCAGTCCAAGTACTATATATTATGATTATGACGATAGGGTTTGAAGTGGGTCTGGAATATGTCAGTTGGTTTGATTTTCGTTTTCTTTTTCAATTGAAGTTATAATGATACTAGTATATTGATGTGGAAATCAGAAGTAAATTCTCTTGCTTTCAGGTTATAGTTTGAAACACCAGCAGTACATTCTCTTGCTTTTACATAGAAATTTACTACTCAAATCTTTCAGCAGTAATACTTATGATTTTAGTTACAGTAAAGCAAGTAAGATTCTGATCGTATTTCTATCAATTGAATCACACAATTCCAATCATGAACAATTTAAGTACAATTCAAATTGTAAATACTCCACTTATAATCAACAATGATAAAATCTCTTCTGTACGTTGTTAGATATTTTCTCTGAACCTTAATTTGCTTATGAAGTGAACAAGAAAGATTCTTTTGAAATTTTTTGAGGAGGGAAGTGGGGTAAATCACCAAGAATAATTCTTTGGTAAACGACTGTAGAAGGAGTTACTTAAGTCTGTCAAATTAAATGATTTTAATCATTACTTGACTGAAATTTGAATGGTCCAAATTTGGTTGGTGGAAAAAACTAAAATACCACGACGGTTGAGAATATTATTTTTTATAGGTACTCTGGAGCATGCATCACGGTTTAGCCTTAGAATTCGCAAATAATTATGCAAGGAACAATCAAGGTATCAACTTTGAGGGCTGTTGAGTTTTATATATATATATATATATAGATCTGTGAATTTTCCTTTCTATGAAGAAGACTTCCTAATTGTTTGACCATGAAGATGATATATGCAGATATATCAGTCAAAAATTCCCAGTCTACCCACAACTAGAAAATCAAATTAACGGTCAAGAAAATACCACCTGCTGGCTGATCATCATCTATATATAACTTCATTTTGGAATGGGATTTGCATTGCATTAATAAATCATCTATACTCTCATAACATTCATTCTTCCTTTGACTCAAAAAGAAGAAGAAAAAAAACTTCATTCTACCTTCGCTAATTATGGGATCTGTATCAAACGAGGTGGTGATCGAGCTCACCCCATTCATTCGAGTTTACAAAGATGGTTATGTAGAGCGTCTTGCTGGCTCCCCCATAGTTCCTCCCTCACCCGAACAAGACCCCGACACAGGTGTCTCCTCCAAAGATGTAATCATCTCCCTAAACCCACCAATCTCTGCTCGTCTCTATCTCCCTAATAACCTCCCCAACAAAAAATTACCCATCTTGGTGTATTTCCACGGCGGTGCTTTCTGCATCGAATCTGCATTCTCATTTCTCGATCACAGATATCTAAACAACATGGTGTCTGAAGCTCAAGTAGTTGGAGTCTCTGTGGAGTACAGACTAGCCCCAGAACACCCTCTGCCTACAGCATACCAAGATTGTTGGGATGCTCTTCAGTGGGTAGCCTCTCACTCCATCAAAGATAAACTTCACAACGATCCATGGCTGGCAGACTTTGGTGATTTCAGTGGACTCTTTATCGGGGGTGACAGTGCAGGAGCCAATATTGCACATAACGTAGCAATGAGAGCAGGAAATGAGGGTTTGTCTGGTGGTGTAAAAATTGAGGGTACATGGCTTGCTCAACCCTTCTTTTGGGCATCAAGCGCCATAGGCGTGGAGCCTGAGAAGAGATTACCTGCAAAGGTCTGGAATGTGGTGTGGCCGTCTGCACCGGGTGGTGTCGACAATCCGATGATCAATCCAGTGGGTGAAGGGTGCAGAAAGGAGCTGGCTGGACTTGGATGCTCGAGGTTACTGGTTTGTGTGGCCGAGAAAGACACGTTTAGAGAGAGAGGTGTTTTGTATTGTGATGCAGTGAAGGAAAGCGGATGGGAAGGAGAAGTTGAATTTTTTGAGGTGAAAGGAGAAGATCATGGCTTTCATATATTTCATCCCTACACTGTCAACTCTAAGGCCATGATCAAACGCTTGGCTTCTTTTCTCTCCGGCAACTGATTCAATACATCGTTAAGATCTAATTTTCTTCCATTGTTAAAATAATTGGATATGTACTAAAAAGTATCAGTACTTTTTTCATATTATTGTAATAATTATTTTATTTAAATATAAATTTGTGTTTTAAATTTTACTTAAATTAACTCTAACAATCCTAATATTTTAATAGTATTTAAGATAAGTTTCGTGTTAAATAATATTATCATATGAATATTATATTTTTTAATAATCATCAGTATATGTACAATGTGATAGATGTGTTAATAATTTTTTAAAATGTGATAGAGTGTAATTGACACATAATAAATATTTTAAATATTTTTTTTCTTATTATTCAAATATACTTTGTATAAAAGAGTACATTAAGAAATTACAAGATTTCATAAAAAAAAAAAAAGTTTCTCTCGTATAACAATCTCGGATGATTTTTGAGTGAAGTAATTTTTCGTTCTTATTGAGAGTTTCTCATCATTGAGAAATAAAACATTTTCATTATCAGCCTCATGATGATGCTCTCCTTGTTAACTTGTGGAATAAGAGATAGGCTATCAAGTATATCTTTTATGCAGAAGACTGAATACTAGAAATGTGAATGTAGAAGAAGATCAAAT